TTCCTTTCATTAAAATATGTTTAGGGGAAGATAATGCTATGTTAGTTTCCTCACACAAGGGCGACTTTCTGACGCTGTGTCGCTGCTTAAAAGAAAAATAAATAGAAGATAAAAGAAGGAAACGAAAAGGAATGAAAGAAAGAAAGAAAAGAAAAAATGAAAAAAAGAGTGAAAGAAATAAAAAACAGATAAGAAACCACGCAAGGAAGGAGAGAATGAGTGGGAGATGGAAAAGGAGAGAGAAGGAAGAAAGAGAGAAGAGAGAGAGAGGAGAGAGAGAGAGAGAGAGAGAGAGAGAGAGAGAGAGAGAGAGAAGAGAGAGAAGAGAGAGAGAGAGAGAGAGAGAGAGAGAGAGAGAGAGAGAGAGAGAGAGAGAGAGAGAGAGAGAGAGGAAGAGATAGAGAGAGAGAGAGAAGAGAGAGAGAGAGAGAGAGAGAGAGAGAGAGAGAGAGAGAGAGAGAGAGAGAGAGAGAGAGAGAGAGAGAGAGAGAGAGAGAGAGAGAGAGAGAGAGAAGAGAGAGAGAGAGGAAGAGATAGACACAGAGAGAGAGCGAGAGAGAGAGAGAGAGAGAGAGAGAGAGAGAGAGAGAGAGAGAGAGAGAGAGAGAGAGAGAGAGAGAGAGAGAGAGAGAGAGAGAGGAGAGAAGAGAGAGAGAGAGAGAGAGAGCGAGAGAGAGAGAGAGAGAGAGAGAGAGAGAGAGAGAGAGAGAGAGAGAGAGAGAGAGAGAGAGAGAGAGAGAGAGAGAGAGAGAGAGAGAGAGAGAGAGAGAGAGAGAAGAAGAGAGAGGAGAGAGAGAGAGAGAGAGAGAGAGAGAGAGAGAGAGAGAAGAGATCATTGTCATTATCATTAACATCATATATTTTTTTAATTATCATCTCTTTTTTCATATCATTATTCATAATCATCTTCATCATTGCTATCATTGCTGTAAATATTTATCACCATTATCATTTTAACGTTAATGTAAATTATTTTTTACAACCGATAATACTATCATGTTTATATTATTATTATAATAATAGTTATTATTATTATCATTATTTTATCTTTATTATTATTATTATATTATTATTATTATTATTATTATTATTATTATTAATATTATTATTATTATATTATTATCATGATTATTATTGTTATTATTATTATCATATTATTATTATTATATCATTATTATTATTATTATTATTTTATTATTTTATTATCATAATTCTTCTTCTTCTTCTTCTTATTATTGTGTTGTTGTTATCATTATTGTTGTTATTATTATTATTATTACTATTATTATTATTATTATCATTATCTTTAATGTCATTAATGTAAATATAAAGCCAAAATCCGATCAGTCATGACAGTGACAAACCAAAACTCACGGTCACGTTCTCAACATTAAATTACGTCAATGACCACTCTTGGCGAGGAATAAACTGCCCAGGAAGTGATTTCTCAGAGTTGGTTAGTTATTTCCTTTTTTTTGTTTATCTATTATCTATCTATTTATTCATTTTCCGTCAAGGTTCTCCGTAGGAATGCGTGTTCCATTTCGTGGGATTTTTTTTTTTTTTTTTTTTTTTTTTGTTCCAGCGTCGGAGATTATAAAAGTTGTCCTTGGGATGAGTGTCTTGTTCTCCTTTGTTATTTTCTATTATTTTTTATTGTCTCATTTCGAAGATAAAATACAAAAGGCAATTTTCAGGATCGAACGTCCGTTTTATTGTTTACATAAATACAAATATATTCGTAAATTCGTCATTTTTTTTTCGATTTTCTCTCTCTCCTCTCTTTCTCTTCTCTCTCTCTCTCTCTCTCTCTCTCTCTCTCTCTCTCTTCTCTCTCTCTCTCTCTCTCTCTCTCTCTCTCCCTCTCTCACGCTGCAAAAGGACTTTCAGCCGTAGAAGGGACTCGGGAGATGGGCGGAGGAAACCAGGTACTCGGGGGCGTGAACGTGGGCGTGGGCGGCTGGCTCGTACGCCGCGACGGGCTTGTAGTAGGCGGGTCTGTGGGCGGGGTAGCGCGGCAGCCCCTCGTAGCTGACCTCGGCCACGTAGCCCGAGTCGCCGCTGACGTAGTAGGTGACCTTCTGGCGCCGCCCGTCGGGGAGGTCGACGAAGTAGGAGCCCTCGGTCGTGTAGCCGTCGGTGGACTCCCGGTGGCCGTAGCTGCTGCCGCCCGCGCCCACCGCCCACCCGTAGTCGTGGGTCTGGGGGTAAAGATTTGCCATTGGTACTACTATTACAGGTAGTGATATGGCGCGTCTACCTCTATTACTATTATAATTGATGGTAATATGAATGAGAATGGTATTGATAAGGATATGGATGATGATGATCATAGGAGCGATAGCTTCATATTATTTTCGCTTGTAACATGAATAGAAACATTCTTGTTGCATTAAAAAGAGAGGAAATAATAATGAAAATGAATTGACGGAAAGAAAAGGAAAACATAAATCTCACACTAAACACAAAAGTACTTTAGCTCCCCATAAACTTTTTTTTTCTAGTTTTCTACGAAAAAGAAAAAAGAGAAGTTTCTTTTCTTTCTAAATTACTATTGGCGCTGCAGCGAGGCAAATATATGCAAAGGTTCTCAGCGATTGTATTGCCTGCGCAGATGTACTTTATTTTTGCAAAATTCTGATGATTTTAACCCTTTTTGTGCGTGTGTTGTGTGTGGAGGGGGGGGGGGACTTTAATCCTTGATTGTCGAGTTACACTATAATAATTATCATTTAATCAGTTCTTCCCTTCTTCAACTAACCCCCTTACCTTCTTCGCCGGGACGGTAGGAGTAGAGCGAGCGGGGACGTAGTACGGCTTCGGCCTCTTCACCGGCGCCAGAGCGAGGACCGGCACAGGGCGCTTCGGGGGCGGCGCGGCGACGGAGGAGGAGCCAGCTGTTGCCCCCGCAGCTGAGACGAAGCTGGAGGGAACCGAGGCGTAAGAGGAAGAGGCTTCGTAGGTCAGGTTCGGGGTGTAGGGCGCGTGGGCGTGGTGCGGGCGCGGGGCTGTGGGCGGCCAGACGGAGGAGGAGACGACGACGGGGCGGGCGTCGGGGGCGGCCAGGGCGGTCGCAGCAAGCAGGGCGAGGACGAGGCTCAGCTGAGGGAAGGGAAATGAGAGGAAATGAAAGAGCATTCTCCAGTAATGACATTGTTATGCCACACCAAAAAAAAAAAAAAAAAAAAAAAAATCATTCACATTATAAAAGACGGGAATGAGATACACCAAAAAAAAAAAAAAAAAAAAATCATTCACATTAAAAAAGACGGGAATGAGATTCCTTATAAAGAATATCAACAGTTACGAAACCCATTTGATCGTATAAGACCATCCACTCGGGGGCGCAGAGCTAATAGACAATCAGAGCGTCATAAGAGAAGGAAATGCCAGGTCCCTCTTGACAAGAACCCTGCCGTGAGTGACGTAACACAGGAAGAAAGTCATCCGTGTCAGAGCAGTCATCAGATCGATTACTCTCGCCAGGTGACTTGCCGGCGGCGGGTGCAGTTGACAGCCCAGACTTCCCTTCAAGAAATCTGCTACATTTATTGATTTTGACTTCCTTTATAGAGTTCTGTGATCCTAATTGAACTGATTTGAACTTCCTTTATAGTGTCTAATTGAACTGATTTTAACTTCCTTTATATTTGTGATGTCTAATTGAACTGAATTGAACTGAACTTCCTTTATAGACATGTGGTGTCTAATTGAACTGAAACTTCGCCCTGGGACAACTGGCAAAAAGTTTCACCAACCGCGGGGTATGGAGATTATAGCAGATGCGATTAAGAGTAAGATAAATAGATAATTGAATTAATAAATTAACAATGGCTGGAGCGTCATGGCGAGCCTTTCAGCTGTCATCGATGAGGCAGATTCACGAACATAAAGATAATCGTCCCTTTTTTGGGATTGGCAAAGAAAATATGCAATAATTCTTTTATTTTACCGTGCAATGTTTTGATTTGCTAAGAAACAGGAAGTAAAAGATATGATCCACTCATTGAACGCTATCTTGTTAAAGCAACCTGTAATAGAAGGTATTAGAAGTTGCCTAGCAGAGAGGCCTGTAGTGAAGCCTTTCCCAAATATGGTTTAATTTGGCAATACGTAAAAAAAAAATAATAATAAAATAAAAAAAAAAAAAAATAAATAAATAATAAAATAAATAAATAACGGACTTCTTTCTTCTTAAGTAATATTACAGATCACTATGTTCATTTTGGAAATTCTTGCCGAACCGATTTTGCACATTGCTGGGGTCGTCCCCATCGGCCGGTTTGTTAAAATGAATATTCATACATACAGACATATACACAGAAGTAATTGTATATCTATCAGTTTAGACATGCTTATCTGCCGGATAGATAGATAGATAAATGTACATAAATCAGACATATATACAGATATGTGTTCATTTCTGCGTATATGCATGCCTGTAATCTATGAATATGCACTGGATTGGGCCTCGCACATTTATAACAAACTGACCGTATGTTTTTGGCGACTTTGTGACCATATTTCATAGTCTGTATATCACAAAGACACATGATGATTATAAAACATAACAATAACACACACGGACACATGGCACACACACACACGCAACACACACACACGCAACACCACACACACACATGCACACACACACACACACACACACACACACACACACACTCACACACACACACATCACACACACACACCACATCACACACACCACACGAAACACATACACACACACACACACATACCACACACATACACAACCACATCACACACACACACACACACTCACAGTTACATGCATAATATCTACAGTAATATGTATAATACTAAGCACCAGTAGTACCTTCATGTTGGTTGCAGTGCAGCTTGTCAGGTATGGTGCCTCGATGTGATGCTCCAAGCCTTATATACACTGTAGAGAGGGCAGAGACAGGGCATAATGATACCCAGGGGCATTAAAAACACAACGAGATTCGGGAGGGCATTGG